AGCGCCCATACAAATTGAGGAAGTTGGAACATACGACTTAGACCGTAAAAAAATCAAATTAATATCAAACAAATCATTCAGATATTACAACCTATAGTCATCGATTATGTTTCGCCACTTTGTATATAATTAAAATTTTATAATATTTTAAAATTAATTTAATGTTTTTAGAAAACGTTTTAACGGATTTCTAAAAATGTTAGCGGTGCGCGGCATACTTAGATAGTTGTGCAAGCGACAATCGAGAAACAATCAAATTCAAAACAAATTAATTAAAAAATATTATAAAATAAAAACTATATACAAATGTGGCGAAAGATAACCGATGACTATAGGTTGAAATATCTGAATGATTTGTTTGAAATTAAATTTTTTTTTACGGTCTAAGTCGTAAGTTGCAACGTTCTGAATTCGGTATGAGACGTCTTTAACAATTTTCTCATTATAGACCCAACAGATACAAGTAAGATTAGTAGCGATCAAAAGCGCTTTTTTATCGCATTAAGCCTATACCCCCTTTCATTTTTCGCGAACACTCCCTTTAAATTCATTCAGGCAAACATAAAAAAATGGGACTCTATTCTCAGTTATACTGTAAATCGTTTTAACTTCATAGTCCAAAATACTTGAAAAAGGATTTTTTCTAAAATAAAACAAATTTTAATGTGGAAAAAAAGTAAAAAAAAAATTTATCCGCAAATTACAAGCATTCTTAAAATGCAAAGAATGTGAATGTATTATCACGCTATCATTGTACAACCTTTTTGTAAAAATAATACGAACAATTTTTTATCTTTAACATAATTTCGATACGGAGATAATAAATATGTAGATTTTTAAAAAAAATATTTTTTGTGAAGCATAAATAAAAATATGTAACCCTCAAACTTTTTAGTCCGACTGAGAAGCTAGATCAGAACCAGAACCTGTCTCAGATAACCAACAAACCTTCATTGAAATATATATTTTTCTCTCAGATAACCCTTAAACCTTGTATCTGTTAAAATTGCAATATATATTTTTTTGATTTTTATTATTACGTATCTGGAAAACGCAACTATAACGTCACGCTACCTTACATAACGTTTCTGAAATGTTCTAGAAACGATATTTTGTTAGTCGGGCACTATAAGATTATAAAAAAAATTTGTTTAATTTATTAACTCGTTTTAAAGTTGTATGACAAAGTATGTTTTTTAAACAAGAACAAACCATTGTTATTATAAGAATTTGGTATATTATTGAGCGCAGAACAATCCCTTCAACGATTAAAAATTGCTGTTTTTTACTTTAAATTCTGAAAATGCTCTCGTTACTCCCCTGCGGATGCCAAAAAAGATGATTTAAAAGTTTTGAAAAAAGCGGAAACGGATCAAAAATATGAGGAAACGGATCAAAAATTTGAGGAAACTGATCAAAAATATGAGGAAACGGATCAATTTTAAAGTTTTGGAAAAAAGCGGAAACGGATCAGAAATATGAGGAAACGGCCTAAAATTTGAGGAAACCGATCAACAAATAGAGATTATTTTAAGTTGTTGAAAAAAGCGGAAACGAATCAAAAATATGAGGAAACGGACCAAAAAAGTGAGGAAACCGATCAACAAATTGAGATTTTTAAAGTTTTTGAAAAAAGCGGAAACGGATAAAAAAAAAGCGGAAACGGATCAAAAAATGTTTAGTCATGTCTCAACATTCTTCCTAGAAAAAATAAAGCTGATATTTTGTAGACTAATAGAAAAAAACTAATAGAGAAGAGAAAACTAATCAGTTGGGATATAATAGGATTAGGAATAGAGTTAATTTAATTATGCATGGGATATATTCATACATGCTCTAGCCAGGGGTATAGATGGACGCTTTCTGATTTTTAAATTTTGTTTTAAAAAATCGTTTTTTTAAAAGTT